GGCTCTCGGAGCTGAGGGCGTGGGTTTCCAGCCACAGCCAGCAAGAAAGTCAACCCCTCAGTCCCACAATTGCAGGAAACTGACTCCCGCCCACCCTGGAGTGAGAGTGGAAGCATCTTCCCTTGCAGACCCTCAGATGGGACCACAATCTCAGCCTAAACCCTGGCCACAGTCTTATGAGACCCGCATTGGAGGGAGCACTTCCCATGCCCGATCTCCGCAACTGCTGAAGCTGTGAAAGAGCCATGAACGTGTGGTGGTAATATTGCTCCATAACAAGAAATGACTGGCACACAGCCTGATAAAACCAGGGTCTGCGTCTTTTAGTTGACTTTTAAGGAAGAAACTTGATATTGGAGAGAAATGCCTGTTCATAGCACAGTTTTGTGAAAATGAAAGTAATATGTTGTCCTGTCTGTATGAGAAACATCCTGACCAGAGTTCCAACTGTCCACTATTGAAGACGTGGGTTTCCTAATAAGCTCACTGTTTTTTGTGGTGTGTATGCAGATGTCCTCTGGCCTGCACATCACCCCTTGGGGACCAGGGCTCGGAGAACTCGCACAAAAGTGGTGATACTCTGCTGCTGTGCTGTAAGTAACAAATCTTCCTTTCCCACTGACCCAGCAGCTTGCTGGGGCTAAGAGCATTTATGGGACTATGGCAGGCAGAAAGTCAAATCTCAGACCTCTCCAAGTTCTGGAAAAGCAATCGAGAAGGGTATACAGCACATGTATGTGACTGCTGATGGGTACAGGTTTCTTTTGGGAGTACTGAGAATGTTCTGGAATTAGTGGTGATGGCCGCACAACCTTGTGAATATACTAAAAAGCACTGAATTATACTTTACAAGGGTGCATTTTATGTGAATTATATCTTAATAAAAATAAATGTGGCAAAAATGTAACCATTGGTAAACTAGCTGAAAGGTATATGAGACTTGTCTTTTTCTTAAGCTTTTCATCAAGTACAAACTTCTTTCAAAACAAAGTTGTGTTTTAAACACTTAAATAAATTCAGAGTTCTTCCTTCTTGATCCACCACAGCAGATGTTGATGATGGTGGCATCTCCCTTTCCGGAAGTCACAGGTTAGGGATGACAGGAACTTTAAAGTCATCCAATTCAGCCCTTCATTTGCAGAAGAGGAACTGAATCCCAAACAGCAGTGGCTTTTAGAGGCCAGGCACCCCGTTGGTAACTATCTGGTAATTCGCCTGCACAATTCAAGTAGCTATTCTTTCCTTTCCCCTCGAGCTGTTTACTTTTAACCTTGCATTCTCTCAGAATGCTCACCTGGACCCTCTCTAATTTCTCAACATCCCTCTGAAATACGGAGGCCCAAGGTTGGAGGAAGAAAACCACCCCCAGCGATACATGTTAGATAGTGAAATGAGTGAAAGAAGGCATCGTTCCAAGACCAGAAAAAATTTTGAGTTCTAAAGAATTAATGCAAAAATGTGCTTCGGTGGTGGTACATGGCATCAGCCCGCTGCCTTCTGCTGGCCTGCTGCTGCTGCCAGCTCCCCTCTGCATCCGAATGGACTGACTTCATGATGGAGATATGGGGGTGGGACTGGGGTTAAGCGCACAGTTCCCCAAAACAGCCAGGATGTGTGCAAGCTGTCTTCAGGAGTGTAACTGCTATTCAGGCAAGGCACTGAGCTAGCTCAGAGAAGGCAGAGCCGGGCAAGTCAGAGCTGCTTGGGCACTGGGATGGGGCGGGAAGAAGGGGACCAGCAGAGGAGAGGACAAGGCAAAGTTCTGGAGGCCAGGTCCAGTGTAATGAAGGCCCAGGTTGCCTGCTTGAAAGTGAGCAAGCCTGAGTCAGGCCCAGCCTTGGTCAAAGACAGGACAATAGGACACACAGAACTTCTGCAGAAAGCAGAAGTGGCCGCTTGTCCTGTCTCAGTGAGGAGGACTGAGGGAGTGACTACAGGTGTCTCGGCTCTGTTTTATAGGCTCATGCCAGCAAGGACCTCTGGTTGGTGTAGGCCTTGCCCTTGGGCTCACATATCCCAACCACCATTCGTGGTGCCATCTCGACGAATGTAACCAAGAGGGCACATGTAACCATCCTCACCCTGAGCCGTAGATGAAGCCCCAAGTCCTTGGCCACAGTGCATGGGGAGGGCCCTGATCCAAGTTAGGCAAAAGAGACTTGCCCAGTCCTTGGGCAAGGGGTCAGCATGAGCCTGCGGCTGCTGGGTACCACCTTCACCACCTATGGAGAGAGAATGCCTGAGCCCATGAGCAGAGCAGACAAGGAGAGAAATCACATCTTCATGTCATCTTTTTGAGTCCCCAGATCCAGCCAAGTCCCTTTGCAGTCACGGGAATAACTTAACGAAGCTATTTCTGTGTTCATAGTTCTGTACCTTGCCACTGTAGTGTTCCAATGATAACCTCGGTATTCCAGGCCCCCATGGGCTGGGCCCATGCATCTAATCACGCCCAGCCTGTGGGTGTCACCACCTCACAGTACAACTCAGTGTTTCCCAAAGCCTGTCCTCTTCTTTCCTGCTTTCACACTGACTGCATCATTCTCTCCTGAAAGCCCACCCACTCTTCCAGGCCCAGAGTAAGTCTCTCCTTTATGAAGCCTTCCTGTATCATGACAGTCTCCAGTGGCTAAAGACCATATGTGTTAGTATCTGCAACCTTCACAAACCAGTTGTGTTCAGTGTATTTGATGAGTGAACACTGCATAAGAAAGCATGCCTCTCTGGCCCTAATGAACTTACAATGTAAAAAACAAGACATAAAGCCTGCTGTCATAATAGAAATTGTGTGTATGTGTGTGTGTATACGTGTGTGTGCACAGGCACAAACTTGAGCACAGGGAGGCACAGGTGGGAAAGGATAAGGGACACCCTCCTCTTATTAAAAAAAACCCACCCACCACCCCAAGTTTATTCCAGAAGGAAACACTCCACCAATAGCAGTGGCACTAGAAATCTAGGAGAGAGAACCCCAAGAGGAAGTTAAAACCATGGGGGAACCTGGGCTTCAGGGTTTAGCCAGACCTCACCATGAACAGAAGCTCCTGAAGGGGCTAGTTGTCATGTTTGCTACAGAGACAGAGGACAGGAAGTGTCCAAACAGGGCTGCCTGCAGGCACCACCCCTTCCAGCCCCCGTTCCCTTAAAGATGAAACCTGACGTCTCGTATCTGTGAAAGTCCTCTCATTACCAACCTCTGGAGACACATGGTTGGGCTGAGGGGCCTTCTCTCTCCCTGAACATCTCATGAAGGCCCTTACCGCTATGCTGCTTCCCCCAGCTGAGTGGGGTGAGAGGGGGGCCAGGACAGCATGAACCCCTCGGCCCTAAGACACCAGTGAAATCTCTCCTGAGGAAACTGCCCCCTCCTCTGGCCCCAGCAACAAAGGCCAGCGTTTCCCACTAAGTTTATAGGAACTGGCAGCCTAATTCCCAAGCCATGTCCCTAACACAGTGCCTTCACTTTGGGATCCCATTCAGAGGTGACGCTTTCTCCCATGTACCTCCTAGCCTCCATTAACATACCACTACCACAAAAACAGGGAAGAGGGAAGGTTCTAGGCTATTTGAAAACAAGGGCCATAAAGTTCATTAGTTCCTTTGTATCTTCCCACAGAACCTTGTGACCCACTAATTTAGTGGCTGAGAGCGTGGCCATTTGTGGGGAGATGTCAGCTGAGAAGATACTCTAGTTTCTTAAGAGAAGGGCTCTCCCCCAGATGCAACTAGTCCTCTCTGTCCCCCAAGCTTCCCTCCTGCACCCTGTGCAGAGCCCCTAACCTGTACCACCAGCTCTGCCTTCCATCTCGTGACAAGTCAGCAGGGACTGGAGCTGCTGGGCCCCCACTGACAACTGCTGAGACACCAGGCCCTGGGGCCCACTGTCCTCTTCCCCTTCGGCTGGTTCCAAACCTCCACACCATCCCCATCCGGCCCCCAGTCCCTATGCCTTCGGACTTGTTCACTCACACCAGGCCAACCCTCCCTCACACGGTCACCAGTCATTAAGAAAAACCTGGTCTTTCCTTCTTCTCAGGACCCTTCTAGCCTCCCCAAGGCGTCTGGTGACTTCACGGCCCCTCCTTTTCTAATCTCTGCTCTCACCACCTCCTGGCCATCAGTTGTGCTTCTGCTCTAGCTCCTCTGTCAGCGGGAATGGCCCCCACTCTACCTCCAAATACTTACCTTTCCACCTTCTGTAGTGACTGGGGCAGAACCCACTTCCCTGTGGGCACAGCCCTTTCCCAGCTGTCCAGCAGACCACTTCACTCCACCTTTCCGTGGAGAAGCCATCCCCTGAACTGAGAAGACAGAACCCTTGGAGACAGGGCCCTGATGTCACCACGTTTCTCTGTGATGCCTCACACACTTTGTACATGAGGCACCTTTCAGAAACATCTGGAATGAAAGAGATAGCACACTCCCAGCTCCCAAGAAAGACATGTGCTCTTTCCAGGAGTTAAAAAAAAAAAAAAAAGTCACCCAAACAGGCTACCCTCGAAGGGAGCCCTAAGCTCTTTTCCCATGATGCACATTTCGGGCCGAGCGTGCCAGCTGAATGTAGGAATGAACGAATGAACAAAGCGTGGGTAGCTAAGTGAGACACCATGACACTAAAAGTTCTACCACAAGTTATATCCCAACCACTGGCACGCACGTGCTCTCCCCATAAGGAAGGCACCACTTCCCAGGGCTTCAGAAGAAAGTGCAGTTTCTCTGGCAAGTCTCAGCCCTGGGGTCTGTTTTTCCTCACACAAGGACCAAAGTGCTCTTCTGCAGATCACTGGGGACTCTGAGGGGACAGGTTCTAAGCTCTGCACTTGGGCGGGAGGCCTCGCCGTTCGATGTATCGGGGCTAAAGGCACATCCAGGTGGAAATGTACTTCCTTTTGACTTTTTAAAAAATTACACACTTCATCAATTTCTCCTAAAGTAGAAAGAGGAAGGAAACAAACCACTTCCGGGCAATTGCAACAAAAAACAACAGGGAGCCACTGACATTTACATTCTTATTTGTGGTTTGTTTGTTTTTTTTATTTTTTACCTAGAAAAAAAAAACCAGGGGAATTTATATGACAAACTATTAGTGTCAGGATGGGAAGGGAAAAGAGGAATCCCGGAGGCGTGGGAAGCTAATAAAAAGTGGGTTCCAAATCATGTGGAACAGTCCCCAGGGTCATGTCTGGGTCCTCTTGAGATAACCGGACGCTTTGGCGTGTGTGCCCAGTGCCTGATCTCCTGGTCTGCCCTTCAGACACCCATGGTCAGTGAAAGCTGTCCACACCCTGGAAAGGTGCCAAAGACAAACTCATACTTGACAGAGAGATGAGACCATGTGGCTCTCAGCTTTGTGTACAGGTATCACACGGCAGTCTTTCTTGCCTAAGAGTCTGTAAGTGAGAGCCGCCACAAGGAGACACTTGGGCATCACAGCAATCTCCAGGCAGCCGCTCACTCATGTGCAGATTCGGTCTTCACCACCCACACAGGCATCTGTTCAGACATCCCCAGGCAGCCTGGCCAAAGGACGAGGCACATGACAGTCCCTTCTTAGCCACAGTTCAACAGTGGTGTCCATTCTCCAATCTTGCTCTATCATGTGTAGGAAATTGGGAGCAGCTTTTCAGCTCAGCACTGGACACTGATTCCAAGAAGGCTTGGCCACCTGGGTCCACCCTGAAGGTCTCTCAAGTTTCTTCTGCTTGATGCCCCAGATATCAGGCAGAAAACTCAGCAAGACCCAAGGCCAAGTGTGGCAAACAAGACAGCCAGAGCAATGGTTGGACAAGAAAGAGCCAGTGGCACACTGCAAGGCCAGAGTACATTCAAGAAGGGGAGGGGGCATGCAGCAAGCTGTTGCCCCAAGTTACAGTCTAGGGGACACCCTGAGCCTGAAGGACGGAGCCAGGCCTGCCAGTCTGACACCTCACGCAACAGGGCTCACCGGCTGTGGTCCCATGTGGAGAGCGGAGGGTTCCCTGCCCTGCTGGGGCCCCTGTTCCTGCATGGAGGCCAGGTTACATCTCAGTGCCACAGTCCTGAGGAGCACCACACTGGCCGGCCAGCCAGGCCACAGTCCTCAGCCCCTCCACTGACGGGGCTCCACGTTCCACAGGGAGGTCTCCAGGAGGGAGGGAGCATAGGGAGAGGGCTGCATTCCTCTGAGACATTCGAGGAGTAACTACCATGGGCTGGAAGGAGCTGTGGCCCAAAACTTTGCAGAGCCCAAAAGAACAGGATAAATATAGGAGAAATGACAACAGTCTTGCCGCAAGTTTAAAAAGAGATTAATTGTTGCTGTGGCTTGGTTTTGTTTTCTCCTTTCAAAACCACTCATTTTAAAAGGTGAAGGGGCTGGAGAATTTGGCCCCCTCACTTGGAGGCCTCAGGCCCATGCCTGCGGCCACTCCCCTCAGCAGAGCCAGCCACCCGAGCCAAGCCAGGGTGGGGAGAACGCCCGCTCTGCTTTCCAACAGCAATTCCTTCTCCCGTCAAACTGGAATGCGGGTGGGAAGGCTGAAGTGCAGAGAACTTCGCTGAGCGGGAGGCTTGGTACTGGGCACTCTGAGAAGAAACTGGGCAGCATCAGCCCAGTGCTGCAGCTGTGGAACCAGCACTAACCCTTAGGGAGGGAAGCTGCAGGGCACAGTCTCCTTTCCCTTGGGCCCTGCTGATACTTCTCTCTGGGACTATTCACTGTCAGCAGCTCCTAAGGAAAGTTCTGATCTCAAAGCTATGGCCCATGAAAGGAGAAAACTTGTAAAACCACCCATGATTGGTAATGACTAGTGACCAAAGGGAGAGGAGGTGGCAAGAGGGGAAAAAGTGCATGATATAAAATCCGCAAAGCCCAGGTTTCGAGAGCAGGGACACATGAACAACCCAAAGACAGAGACCCTCTTGGGGAAGGTTTGGTAACGATGGTCAGGATCCTACCAGTGAGGCCTGCCAGGGAAGGCGCTCCTGGGGAGGGGTGGGGCTGAGGAGTGGGGGCAGGGCTGCGGAGGAGGAGAGCCGCTGGCCTCAGGGGGCTGGCATTAGGGGGCGCAGGCCTGGCATCAGGGAGTGTAGGCTGGGGGTGGCTGGAACTGGTTGATGACCTCATACTCAGCGGGGTAGGGCTCGGTCTCCTCCATCTCAGACAGCAGCTCCAGCGCCTGCTCCTCCTCCTCTGTGGGGTAGTGGCGCAGGAGGTTGGCCGCTGTGGCCAGGATCGAGGCTCCACCAGCTCCTGCCACCAAGTAGAAGCTAACAGCAAAGGTGACGTAGACCTGGGAACCATGGTACTTCTTATGTTGCTGCTGCTGGGCCAGGATGAGTTCGGAAGCCCAGTAGGAAAAGCCAATGACAGTGGCACACTGCAGCACTGGGGAACAGAGGGACAGCACGGAAAGGGAGTTAGCAGGCTCAATGCAGCCTCTCTATCCAAATCACATTGTCAGGGGACCTGCCCAGCCCTCGACCCTGCAGGGTGGGCTCTCTAGGCCACAGTTCTCAGGCCAGGGCTGGGGACAGATGCCTGACCCTCTCTGGGCCAGTCAGACTCTCTCTGTCTTAAGAATGGAATCAGGACACGAAGGCTGCTAGAAGTCACTGGGTGCTTGAAAGGAGCAGACGAGGCCATGTAGTTTGGGAGCTGGAGTCGGTGCCCCTACAAGTCAGATCACCACCCAGCCAGCCCAAAGGAGGGGAGGAATGAGTCCGACAACCATGCCCTTCAGTAGGCATAGTGAGATACCCTGCTCCCTCCTTGCTCTGTCCAGGTCCCAGGAGCCCTGCTGAGCCTTAAACCCAGTTCCTGGAAAGCCATGTGACTTCTTGTAGAATCCTAACATCCCCCTCCTGACAGCTGGGCTGAGTAGGTGGTGGTCCTGCCAGGTGTACATGCAAACGACAGAAGCAAGCCGCCATTCCGCCCCAGTGTTCCAAAATAGGCTGGAGCTGAAATGAGCATCTGGACCACTGTCTGCATGGAGAAACCGTACCGTCCCCGCCTGCAGCTCCAGACAGCGCCCATCCCCCAGTGGCAGTCCCTCCCCCACCAGAAGCAGGCCCGGGCTTACCTGTGAGAATATGGGCAAAGGCATAGCGACGAGTGATCTTCAGGGCTGGATGCTTGGGCCCAAAGACATCCAAGAGGAACGCGGAGAGACTACACAGGGTGCCCAGGAAGCAGAAGGCAGCAATGACCCGCAGGAGCAGCACTGTCTGCGGATTCATACAGAAATCTGTAGGGAGAACCAAATCTTCAGGGCTCCAAACAGGAAGTCCCCACCTGGGGGGAGTTTGTCCCCCTCTGCCAAAGTCCTGGGGGGCCTGGACAGAGCGGTCACAGCTCCTGCTCCTGGCTGACCCACAGAGGAGGTAGACAGCCTCCAAATTAGCAGACAGGAACCCAGGTCGCTGCTCCCAGGTGCTTAGCTCCTTCTCTTCCAACAAAACCTAAGTGCACGCCTCTCTGACATACTTGCCATGCTCTTCTAAGCATTTTTAAAGACTCTAACAATTAATCCAATGTGTCATCAGGTTCTGTGAAACTGCACTGCAGGAAGTGCCCACTGATCTCTGAGCTGAGACAGCAAGAGAGGCACGGCAGAGGCCACCCAGCGTCCATCCTTTACCCGGCCACTCATTTGTCCCCTTTTTGTTCAATAAGATGTTGAAGCCAGAGAAATGCACCCTCCACAAGAGTACTAAATCAATCAGGAAAGAAGGTAGATGGGACCTTCACATTGATTTTTGTTCACTCCCTGAACCCGACCAAAACAAAACAAAAAAATTTTAAAGGCATAAACCCACACAAAGAGGAAAGGGGCACAAAATTCTGGAAACTGGAAAGGAACTTGGAGCTACTTGGAATCAACTTCAAAGACTAGACAAGCTGAAGTGGAAGCCAGAAGTGGGAAAGCTAAGAAGCTACTAGATTTACTCCACCCAGGCATGGTAAGGTTCAGAAACTGACAGCACCAAATACCTTCTAAAATGACGTGAAGCCACTAAAGGGTTCGCTCCACTCAAATGAGGGAGTGAACCAAGGGAAAGGATGCTGACATTCAAGGTCCTCAGGGTCATGGTGGAGGGGGAGCCTAGGATGAGGACTGTCACCAGACAGCAACTTAAAGTGTCCTTCTAGGACCGCAACACCATTCTTGTTTCTTCTAAATCTCATCCAGGCAACACTGTCAGACCCTTCGTTAGCTATGTGAGCTGCCTGCCTAATCTCCCAGAAACATACAGACAAAATAAAGGCTGATTCAAAAAGAAACCACTGTGTTTAACAAAAGTAGAAAATGGGCCTTTACTTCCTCTCCAACTTCCCCTCAGGCCTCTGGCAGGCTCTTCTTTCACTCAGGTCATTGGTCACCAAGTGAGGAGGAGAATCTGGGAAGGGCTGGCAGGACCTAGCCTGCAGGCTCCCTCCCTAATTCCTGCCCTCAGGCTGAAGGCTGGCGCCATTAGTCCCCAGGGCACTGGCCGAAAGCACATTCCAGGCCCCAGAGACTGAGCTGTTGGTCTGGAGCAGGGCCTAGAACTCTGGATTTAACGAGCAGCTCAAATACCCCGTGCAGGTGGCCACTGATCCTGGGCCTGCAGGAAGAGAGACTGAGAAAAAAGTCCAAGGACCCAGGGAGAGGGCCTGAACCCAACAAAGCAGACTCAAACCTACACATATTCTGGGGTCTTTAGCATTGGATGGATTATTCCATCAGGGAAAGATAAAACTCTTTCCAAGGATCACATGCAAGGAAGCCTATCCCAGGCTTCCCAGCTCTGCGCTGTGGGACCCGGAGGAAGCCACTTAACCTCCTGGAGCCTCCAGTCCCTCATCTAAGCTGCATGATTGATCCCCAGAGTGAGCGAGACTTAACTAAGGGCCGGCCTCCACACTGCAGGACCAGAGCAGACACGAGGAGACCCTGGCCTTGGTGACAGCTTACATTCTTTGCCTCAGGCTCAGAATTCGCCAGATGGTGGCTGAGCCTACACCAGACCCATGGTGCAAGCTGGCTTCAGGTCATCCTCTGAGCTGCTCTTGGAGCTATCTGTCTCTCTCTTGTCAGCAGACCATCTGTTTTGGGCCCAATCATCCAGCCTGGTGATCGCCTACTGCCAGGAGGCTTTGCCTGGGTGCTGGCTCTGTCTGCAAACAGCCCCACCCAGCCCAAGCCCTGGCAGTGGGCCTACAGGTGGCCTCGCTCAAAAGAAGGCTCCTGGGATCTGGGGCTGTCTCTGGCTTAGTATTGTTAAAAGCTCTGATATTGTGCTTTTTGGGGTCCACATGGCATGAGGCAGGGATAGAGCAGGACAAAAATGTTCTAGTGCTTCCAAGAATCACCTGCTAAAGGTAAAGTGTAAGGGCTTACATTGCACTGTGCTCCACAGTGGGCTGTGTTCCGATTCCTTAATGTGGCCAGGCATTCAGAGTGGGGCTTTCACTATGGTTCTTCCAACTAAATCAACTAAGTTTTGATTTAACAACCAGTCTTAACTGGAAAAAGTCATACTCAGTGGCTTCAAAGATAGTTCTTAGGCTTTTTGGGGTCCACATGGCATAGTAAGTAAAAATGTTCATTTTATTATCCTTTAAAACGTATGTCTATTACATACACCCCATGTATCTCGTGTTTCACAGGACACTTATTTTAATGAGTCACACATAATAAAAAGCTTCAGAGAGAAGGTCCCTCCCCTCCAGATGTCAACTGCTCTTCCCAAGGGACAAACATTGTTGGCAGTTTCTCATGTTCCATTCAGGAATGGCCTGTGCACACCGACAGGTCAAACGTTATCCTTAGTTAAGTCTTGCTCACTCTGGGGATCAATCATGCAGCTTAGATAAGGGACTGGAGGCTCCAGGAGGTTAAGTGGCTTCCTCCAGGTCCCACGGCGCAGAGCTGGGAAGCCGGGGTAGGCTTCCTTGCATGTGATCCTTGGAATCACCAAGCACGAGAGTTTTATCTTTAATCCATCCAATGCTAAAGACCCCAGAATATCCCTATTGGAATAATCCATCCAATGCTAAAGAGAAGCATTTGAATGAAAAATCAGAAGTTAACAGAATGCTGTCAGAGCTACCCTCACAGCCAGCAGCAGCTGAGCTAAGAGAACACCTGGAAGTACAAAATCTCTTCTAGGCAAAATAGGTTTGAGCCATTAAGCAATGAAAAGAGCTCATACTGGGAATTACTGGGCAAGACCTGCTTGGTGCAGTCTAAGCTTCTGCAGCCATCAGTCTGGCTCCTGGAAGCAGTGGGGACACCAGGAAGGCAATGGGCTTGGCATCAAATCCTAGACCCGCCTCAGACTATGTGTTACCTTGAGCAAGTCACTTAACTGCCCTTGGCCTCTGCGTTCTCACCTGTCAAGTGAAGGCAGCAACTCCTGCCCCATGTGCAAAGCAGTCTGTGCTGTTATGGCCCACTCCCTCAGCTGGGCCACAGCATCGGCAGCCCTTGAGTGTCCTTCCTCCTGACACCGAGACTTTCACATTCACACACACGTCAGCCAGGGTGGGATAGAGAAAGAGCCCACAAAAGCCAGACTGAGGATCTGCCCCACCAGGGTGGTGATGTGTCCTTCTGACCCAAAATTCAAACAGGTTTGTTTCAACGGGACTGCCTTTCTCCACTCCAAAGGTGTGAGTAAACCCTCGGGCTTTGTGGAGAAACCAAAGGTGCACTTCCCTTGGAATGATGCTCACAGACAACCCACAGCCTAGGCAGTCTTTCTTCGGAGGGTCTCAGCACACAGAGTGGACAGGCAGTATCCCGGACCCGCTCAGAACCCAGCTCAGGCTCTCTTGGGTCAGGACCTCAGTGTCTCTTTCTCTCCTCCCCTGCCAGACATCAGTATGGAAGGAGGGCCACAAATATCTGCTCCTTTGAGAGGGCTGCTAAACAGAAACAGAATCCTCAAATGTTGTGTAGGCATTATTTTGTTTGTGGGCAGAAATGGCATAAGTATCAGGGTGCCCATTTTAAATTCAAACCAGTAATGCAGTCCACTACACACTGGTAAGAAAGAGACACATTCTATCCTCCAGTTGTGGCCTGTTTATTTTGGTAACTATTGCTTGACTATCCCCTCCAGTCACCAAAGAAGGCAGCTGCCTTGTAATAGGATCCCAAGGCACTGACTTTGCCCAAGGTCACTGGTGAGTCACCTGTTTGGCTCTTCCGGTCTACTGGGCCCACTGCTCTCTCACCCCCTGCTGACCCAAACAGGCTGCAGGTAGGAAGATTAAAGTGGCTTCTGGCCAGTTCCCTTTTTCTGTCCCATCTCCCTTCCTGTCCCCTTCACTGGAGTCCCTGTGAGTTAGAGGCACTTCTTAGCATTCATCTCCCACTTGTGACTTTAGCTTCAAGACAGGCTCTGATACAAGTCGCCAATAGAGTCCCCTAGGGATCACAGATACCAAAGGTCCTAGCTGAGCTGCCTCTGAGGACTGGAAGTGCCTGTGACATCAGTCACCACCCCTCAGGCACACCTGCCCTCCCTGGTTGGCCCTTGACCTTCCCATGCTTGTTGTCAATCATGATTCACCAGACTTCAAATCCCAGACTTCCTCATTCTGCAAGGGTGCTTCTGGAGGCTGCTGTGGGTGCTGCCTTTGCTGGCCTCACTTGAGAGGCAGGGAGGATCTGGGGCCCTCTGCTTGGGGCCACTAGAGATCTGAGCGTATCTGTGGGCCTAGGCCTAAGTTGTAGAGCTGTGTGACATGCAGGAAGCCCAGAGAGAGAGAGGATTCAGAGCGGAATCTGTTGCACCTCAGGCAGGTGAGTGACAACAGGAGGGTGAGTGGCTCTGCCTCAGGATTCCCAACTTGAGCCAGAATGCTGAGGTGATGCAGGCTAAGGAGCACAGCTTTGGTGGGGCTCATGATCAAATAGCTGGCATGGGGAGGCAGTAAGCCTTGGACAGCTTCTGACAGAAGGACAAGCCGGAGTACACTAAGGTGCAGTGCTAAGAGTGGAGGCCATGCCAGACAGACCAGCTGTGCGATCCTGAGCAAGTCACCTGACCTTCCAAGTCTGGGACTTCTGCGGAGTAGTGGTGATGACTGTAGCTACCAAATCAAAGGGCTATTTAGGAGAAACTGAAGTCAGGCGTGGAGTGTGCTAAGCACAGTGCCTGGCGCCCAGGCAGGGGGCCGAGACAGAGGACTCTCCTGTCACCTACAGAGACCCAGTAGGGTCTGTTGTCCCCCTGGAAGCACCTATACTAGGCTTCCATACTAAGACATCTGTTAGGCCCTGAGCATCAGCATAATCACACAGGACAGCATGTCTGAAGGCCCACTGGGTACCAAGAAACCAATAGATACAGAGAAAAGGAAGAAGAGAAGCAATTAGGGACTTCCCGATTCCTCGCCAACTTTTATGATAGCTCATGAGGCACCACCGTCAACTCTCTTATGAATGGACACGAAATTCCTAGCTTGCAATGACCAAGGACATGGCCATAGGATAGCACGTGGGGACTGTCCATGGGTTAAGATCCCTAAACACATAAGCAAAATTAATGTAAAGGTTAAGAAAACATGCTTTATAAATGACAAAATCTGGATTGAACAGTTTCTTAGAAAGGGTAAATATCTGATTTATTCATCTGCACCAAAAATTTATTTTTCACATGCCTTTGACAAGGATGCACACCAAATGGAATAATCTTGAGATCGTTCTATGACAGATGAAGTAAAACAAAGGATAAAAAACATAAATCATTTTGTACTGAGTCAAGAGATGTGAGACAGACACAGCTATGCCACCCCCAAGTGTGTGGCCCTAGACAGACCACTTCATTTCTCAAAGACACAGCTTCCTGGAATTCTGAAATGAAGACCTGGGATCAGACTGCCTCTCCCTCCATCACATGAGCCTCCCCAGAATGATCTGAAAAGGAGAGGCATGGAGAATTCTCCCAGTTAGCAGGTGACATCAAGCTCTTGAAACACTGGAACACCAGGGGATCGGTGCAAAGGTCTGGACGAAGCGGTGGAATGGTGGCAGCTGTGCTTCAAACAAGGAAAAACCAACCACACTCAACTCGAGCTTCATAACATTTCTGCCATCAGCTACACACCAAAGAAAAATCCACATATCACAAGGCCTCCATTGTGTGTATGACTTCTGTCTTAATGAGTGAACCCAGCGAAGGCCCTCATCATGGAGAAACCTGGAAACCAGAAGCCCCCATCCTGTTTTCTACAAAACCATCCTAAAGCCTCAAAAACTCAAGAGAGATGCGAAACAGTCAGAGAACTCTCAGAGAAAGACAACATTAGGCCACAAGGACAGAGCTTTTCAGCCTCGACCTGCAGAAGAGGCATATGATCCAAGGCACAGAAGAAATCTTGACCTTTTCCCCAAATCCCAATACTTGAGTCTTTAAAAAAGCAGTAAGAATCTAACAGGAAGGGTTTCTGAGACATGGGGCAGCAAACATCTGGAACGCATCACGGCCAGGGAGTGGCAAAGGGAGAAATTACAAAGACCTTCAAGAATGGTTCAAAAGGCTGTGGGGGTGATGAACTGCGCTGTTACTAAAGGCTGTGGAGGGTCCACTGACCATTTTTCAGGTGAAAGCCAGGCAGTGCGTCCTGCCCTCACAACACACAGCCCATACCCTCATTGCTGGAGACAGGGCTGGGCAGGTGCAGGTACCAGCTCCCTGGGACGACCCCTCCTCTCCTCCCCCACACCTGGGTAGATCATCGCCTCCCCTGTATCCAGTAAGGAGACCAGTCCCTTTCCCCTTTCTTCTGACTGCAGGGCTCGGAAGAAGGATGCACAAAGCAATCTTGCCTCAGTTAGGCACCCGCGTGCGATTCCAAGAGCCAAATTCCAACTGATTTACTGAGGCTGGACCTAACTCGAGGTCATCCAAAATTACACAGACTCCCCTTTTCCATAAAAAAAATACAACTACTGTAGAACTCGAAGATATCTTTTAAAATCTAGCCATGTTAAAAGTTCCATTTTCGCCATCAATCACTTGCCCCAAAGAAACCTTCCTACATCCCACAGGCTCCTTAGAAAAGGTCAGCTAATTGTAATGCCTAGCGCTTTATCCCTTCTCCAAATACAGCAGTATCCTTCCGCAGAATCCGAAAATAGCAGCAGTCCAGATTAGCATGGCGTCAAAAGTAGGTACTTGGCTGAATAACATCTTAATTAATGAGGGTCCGGGCCCTAAACAGAGCCACCTGGTGGGCAGGAACACCCGTCAGGAATGGGGCTGTTTCCTCCCATCGAGTCCCGCCCCTGGCTATCTCAGCTCCAGCCGACACCACCTTCAGCTCACTGCCGAGGAGCCCTGATCGCCCAGGAAGACAAGGGCCGGCGCGTGGAGCCTTTACCTTTCAGCAAGTCCGGGTGCACGTAGCCCAGCACGTCGGAGACCCCCAGCTCCTGGCGGGTACAGGTGCCACCGTGGATGTGCAGCCAAGCAGGCTCCGCGAGGGCAGTGCACAGCGCGGTGATGGAGAGTGCGCCGGGCAGGGCTGAGGCCAGGCTACGCTCCGGCTGCTTGGGCAGAGCGCTGCCTCCCGGGCTCCTCCGCCGGCGCCCGCCGGGC